TCAGAACATGGAATGTACAAAGTGTGAATCTAGGAAAATTGGTAAATTGTCAAAAATGAAATGTGAACTTCTGAGTAAAAGACACTGACCTAGCCACTGGGGGCTGAAGTTAAGAATAAAGCAAGCTGGATTCAGATGACAACCAGCCATAGAAAGGCTTTCGATTGCGTTGATCATGACAAACTGTAGACAACATTGTGCTCATAGACCAAGAAGCAGTTTTCAGAGAGAACAAGGAAACACCAAATGGTTTAAAATTAGGAAAGGTATGCACCAGGATTATATTCTTTCACCATACTTAATCTGTATGTTGCACAAACTATCTGAAAAGCTGAATTGTAAAAATGTGGCATCAAGATTGGAGGAAAACTCATTAACAACTTGCAGTATGCAGATGATACAACTTTGCCTGCTGAAAGCAAAGAGGACAAATAATACTTACTGTTGAAAATAAAGACTGTAGCCTTCAATATGGGTTGCACCTCAGTGTAAAGAAAACAAAAATCTTCACTACTGAACCACTAAATAACATCTATATAAATGGAGAAAAGATTGCAGTTGTCAAGGACTTCATTTTGTTCGATTCAACCATCAACACTCATGGAAACAACAGTCAAGAAATCAACTACATATTATATTAGGCAAATCTGCTGCACAATACCTTTTAAAGTGTTCAGGAGCAAAGATGTCAATTTGGGGACTACGGTGCCCCTGACCCAAGCCATGTTATTTTCAATAGCCTCATATGCAGGTGAAATTGGAAAATGAGTAAGGAAGACTAGAAGAATTTAAGCATTTGAATTATGGTGTTGAAGGAGAATATTAAAAGTACCAGAGACTGCCAAAGAGCAAACAGATTTGTGTTGTGATAAACAGCCAGAATGCTCCTTGAAAACCAGGATGGCCAGACTTCGTCTTTCATACTTTGGACATATTATCAGGAGGGTCCAGTTGCTGGAGAAGGACATCTTGCTTGATAAAGTGGAGTTTCAGCAAAAAAGAGGGAGACCCCCCACCCCCAATCCTCCCAATGAGATGCAGTGGCACAGTGGCAACAGGAGGTTGGAGCAGGACCGGGCAGTGTTTTGTTCAGTTGTGACCAGGGTCACTATGAATCGGTACCAACTCAAGAGTCCCTAACAATAACAAGCTATTGTGTTTTATGGTTTACTTATGCATATTAATTACTGTCAACTGTGCTAAAAGTTGAGCTTAAGAAAAAAATTCTATGAGAATATGTTGTTTCATTGTAGAATTAGACAGTATCTGTTGCAGAATCTTATGTTACAATAAAAATCTACTTGTTGTTGTTGTTAAATGCTGTCGAGTAGATTCCGATCCATAGCAACCCTGTACAGGGTTTCCGAGGCTGTAAATCTTTACAGGAGCAGACGGCCTCATCTTTCTTCCGCGGAACTGCTCACTGGTAGTTTCGAACTGCCGACCTTGAGGTTCTCAGCCCAATTCGTAACCACTACACTACCAGAGCAGTGCTTAAAGAAGAAATTATGGTTTTCAACTAAATGAGCTTTTAAAGACTTATTATATAGACATTATGCTATTTATGGTATCCCATAATAACCAATTAAATGAAATTACCTAGTATATTTTTTCTTTCAGAATATACAATTGTACTATTTGAAAAAGTCATCTTTTAGTTGTCAGGTCGAATCATAATGACAATCATAAAAACCTAATATGAATTAAGATTTTCTAGTCCTTTACTCTTGACACGTAGAGAAATCTAGGTATCTCTAATTTAGTATTTAATTTCCCGCAATTCGCTTGCAGATGGCTGAGAAAAGCTGACCTTTTTCATACTATAGGACTGGGCACTGTTTTGTTCTGTGGTACAAAAGGTTGTTATGAGTCAGAGCTAACTCGATGGCCTTGCATTTGCCTGTATAGATTGTCAGTTCCAAATGTATACCCCAAAATAGATTTGTTTATTCTTTGGCAGTCTTTGGTACTTTTAATATTCTCCTTCAACACCACATCTCAAATGCATTAGTTCTTCTACAGTCTTCCTTATTCATTTTCCAACTTTCACATGCGTATGCTAAGAAACATTTGACAGACATTAGATCATGAGCCAAACTTTACTGTTTGGATTTACATATAAATTTGACTTAAAGACATACTTAGGCTTGGAAATCTTTTCTAATTTGGGAACTGCTTGTGTATGAATATATTTTTGTGTAAATGCGAATATATATATATATATGGCATTGTGGTTAAGTGCCTTTGAGTGGTTACAACTTATAGCGACCTTATATAGGGTTTTGGAGGCACACCTGGTGATTTTGAACAGACTACCATGCTATTCACACACCCTTGCAGTTAAGTGCTTATCCTACAGTGCCACACCAGGATTCCATATATGGCATTAGCCTATAAGGCATTGTTGTTGTTGTTATTGAGCGCTACCGATTTGGTTCCAACTCATAGCGACCCTGTATAGAGTTTCCAAGGAGCAGCTGGTGAGTTTGAATTGCCTACCTTTGATTCAAATTGGCCTTGTAGTCCAGTGCTTTATTCCACAGTGCCACACCAGGCCTACTTTAATATTAAAATAAGATTATTATATCAGAAAAAATATTAAAGAAGAATTCAGCCTTTCTGTCACTGATAACATCTGAAAATATCTTTGAGACCCTCATTTTTTTTTTTTAGACTTTTACTGTAGCTTAACATTTTACTTTAAGCTAGTCCTTTGGTTAAGGAGCTCTGGTAGTGTAGTGGTTATGAATCAGGCTGCTAACTTCAAGGGCAGCAATTTGAAACATGCAGTGGTGGCGCGGGAGAAAGATGAGGCTTTCTGCTCCTGTAAAGATTTACAGCCTCGGAAACCGTATACAGGGTCAGAACCGACTCGACAGCACACCACCAGTCCTTTGGTTGACTTCGGTTACATAGGCATAGATACCACTCAGTGGCCTGAGGTAACTGCTTAAG